GTCAAACTTTAGGGGCTGGTGAGATGGCTCAGTGGTCTAAAGCACCTACTTAGAACAAGCTTAGCAAAGCACAGGACCGCTGTTCAATCCCCCAGCACCACATGCCAGCCGGCCCTGCCCCCTGGTGGGCTGAGCTGGCCACACACACACACACAAATAAATGAATAAATAAATTAAAAAAAAAAAAAAAACAGAAAAGACCGGGGGCCAGGGAGATGGCTCAGTAGAATAAGCGCTTCCCTAGCAAGCACAAGGGCCTGAGTTCAATCCCCAGTTCTGCAAAAAAAAAAAAAAAAAATTGAAAAGACCATTGTAGACTAGATAAGGTGCCACACATCTGTAATCCCAGCATTCAGGAGGATGAGGCAGGAGGATTGTCAAGAGTTCAAGGCCAGCCTGGGCTACACAGAAGAGGCCTTATCTCAAAAAAGAAAAAAGAGAGATCATTGTAGAGAGTTTTGCAGAAGTCATAAACATATGGACATATATTTATAGTGAAAGCTCACATATGCTATATAGGATAACTTAATTACATTTTAGTCAAACAATATTAAAATCAAATAAAAGATTTTTAAAAACTAGAAAGAAGCAGCACATTACCTATAAAAATAAACTTGCCAGGAATGGTGGTACATGCCCATATAATCCCAGCACTTGGGAAGCTGAGGCAGGAAGATCACTGTGAGTACCAGGCCAGTGTGTACTATAGAAGGAGAACCTGTCTCAAAATAAATAAATAAATAAAGGCTTTACAGTAAAACAAGGCAAGCCAAATGATGATGAAATAATCTCAAAGCACTGAGCATATAGCATTTAGTTTAGAATGACCTATTCAGCTAACCATTAAGAATGAGGATATTGGGGCCAGGGATGTAGCTCAGTGGCACAGTGCCTGCCTGACAAGTGTGAGTATACAGAATCATACATGAGTTAGGAAAGAAGTCAGGTAGGAGAGTGAAAAACTGTTTGGAACTGAGTGAAAAATGAAAATTTGTGAAATTAATAAAAGGTATGCTGGTAATGCCTACAGTCTCAGCACTCTTGGGAGGCTGAGGCAGGAAAATGCAAGCATAGTGTGGGAAAATTAGTGATATAGAAAGACTTTGTTTCTCAAAAAAATATATTAAAATTGAAAGAAAGGCCAGGGCTGTTAACTCTGTGCAGAAGAGTACTGCCAGAAATGTTTTTTAAAATGGGAGAGGGGTTCATATCTAAAGCAGTATTTACAGTGAAATTTGTAGTGCTGAATAGGTCTGTTTAGAAGAGAAGGAAGACCACAAATGAAAGTCCTCCTCAGCTTCAATCTTAATAAATTAGGAAAAAGTAGCACTAAATGAAACAAAATAAGTACATAGAGAAATTAACAGATCAGAAATCTATGAGACAGAATACAGAAGAGTCAATGGAGTCTGAAGCCAGCCTGGGACTGAGGAGATGGCTCAGCCATCTAAGTGCCTGCCTGGCAAGCATAACAACTTGAGTTTGATGTCTGGTACGTAATGAGACCCTGTACCAAATGAATTAATTAGTTATTAATTATAAAGCCAGTTTGTTCTGTTTATTTAATTAATTTTCTTTTTGAGATAAGGTCTGACTGTAATGTTCAGGCTGTCTTGAACTCACTGTGCATTAAGTAGAGGCTGGTCTCACTCACCAGGATCTTCCTGCCTTGGCCTCATAAGTGCTGGGATTACAGGCCTATACCACCACACCCAGTGTCAGAGCTAGTTCACTGAGAAGGCACAGCTGATACACCTCTACCCAGACTGGTCAGAAATAAAAAGAGAGACACAAATTACTGATAATGGGGATGAAAAAGGTGATATCACTACAGATTTTTGTACATATAAGCAGATAAGGAAATTATATGAATAATCTTTCTGCTAGTAAATTAATTAATTGAAAAGAATGAATTTCTTGAAAGGTATGAACTATTCTCAAGGTGCTGTAAATAACTTGAATATCTAGTTAAGAAGTTTGATTCCTAGTTTAGAATGTTCCCACAAAAGAAACTAGTTCTGTGGTTTTACTGGCAAATTCTAAGGGATATTTAAAGAGGACATGGTACTAATTCAACAAAAGAATGATATGCCAGTTCTTCTAGAAAATTGGGAAACTACTTCCTAGAGCACTGTGTAAAAAAAAATTTAATACACTTCCAAAACCAAAGTGTTCTAAGAAAACTGGAAACAATGTTTCTTGTTTACATAAAGAAAACTTTTTCTCAACAACATGTTCAGAAATCAAGTGAAGTAATATATAAAAAGCATGATAACAAAGTAAGATTCATCACAGGAATGTAAAGTTGATTTCCTATTCGCAAATCAATAATGGATGGATGTAGGGAAGATGATAGAGTCTGAAGGTCCCAGAAACCATCCACCATTGAAACAGTTGTTGAACTGGCACTGTGAGTTAGGATTAAGTGTTTTAGAACTATAAGTCTAATAAAACACATCCACACTAGGAAAATTATATTAGTCATTTTGCCAACACTGGAACAAAATACCCAAGAGCACCAGATCAGAAGAAAGATTTACTTTGCTCATGGTTTCAGAAAGTTCTGTGTTAAGCTGGCTCAAGGCAGAAGCAGCATGTTGGAGGGATGTGACATGGGGAAGTTGCTCAAACCATGGCAGTCAGGAAACAGAAAGAAGGAGCCAAGATAAAATGCAGTACCCCCAGTGCTATACATTTAGCTATGTACCCAAGAAATGATTAATCTATTCAGTATAGCCCATCTCTGAACACTTGAGACTCTTGAGGGATATTTTAGATTTAAACCATACCAGCAATTTTTTATCTACCTGGCTATTGACTAAGCAGCCAGCATAGTGGCTGGCCATGGTCTCAACCTCTTCAAGCTGAAGTGGCTTCCCAGGCTGTAGCTGTCAAATTGAAAGAGATACTAAAATTTTAAAATCCAGGCTGGAGCTGAGCATGGTGGCACGTGCCTTTGAGCCCAGCACTTAGAAAGCTGAAACAAGAGGATTGCTGTGTGAGTTTTAGGCCAGCCTGGACTGTATACGTGGTGAGCTCAAGATCAGCCTAAACTGCCTAACAAGATCCTGTCTCAAAAGAAAAAAAAATTGGGCTGGACATGTAGGTTAGTGTAGAACACTTTCCAAACTTGTGAGGCCCTAGATTCAATCTGCACTATTGGAAGAATGAATGAGTAGTAAACATATATATGTTGCTAGTTAGCATGCCCTACAAGAAACACTGGAAAGACTCCTTCAGGTTTCAGGGAAGGATACCACAGTAACTCAGAAGTCATACAAAGAAATGAGTATCTCTGGTCAAGGTAACTGCATAGGTAAATATAAAAGCTATTATTACTGTTTTTGGTTTGTAATGGCCCCTCGATGTATAAAGATAAATTTTATGATAACACAGAGCTGAGGCTGGTGAGATAGCTCAGCAAACTAAAGCACAGGGAACACGGTTGAATCCCCGGCACCACATCCTGCGTCAGTCCCACCTGCGGGTGGGCTGAGCTGGCCAGTGTCCAGGGCTTAGTCGTGCACACCTGTGATCCCAACACTGGGGAGGCTGAAAACAGGAGGATCATTATGAATCTGAGCTGCATAGTGAGACCCTGTAACAACCAAATACATTAAAAATAATAATAAAAAAATAAAGCTGGTTCTTCATGTAATTATCATATGACATTGCAGTTCCACTTGTAAGTTACATAGTCAAGAGAAATAAAAATATATAGTATTCCTGTTTGATGTCAAATAAAACCTAAAATCAGATTCTAATTCGGTATCAAAATCTACAAGTTTTGGCCAACTGCTCTGTAGTGATGCTAATATTAAACCACAGATTTACAGAAAAGGGGTTCAATTGTATCCTTGCTTAGGGCTCCTGCCCAGCCTTAAAGAGCTGTCTCAACTGAAAACAAAATTAAAGCCAAAGTGAAGCTCAAAATGATTTTGAGAAAAACATACCATAACTAGAGAAATAATTATATTGAGCTTGTTTGCTTGAGCTTTTGTGAGAAGGGGAGCAGAGAGTGTTTTGCTCTTATTAGAATCAGATGCTTGGGGTCAGGGGGATGGTTCAGTAGAATAAATGCTTGCCTAGCATGCGCAAGGGTCTGAGTTCAATCCCTGGTTCAAAAAAAAAAAAAAAAAATCAGATGCTTGTTATGAAAAGCTGGAGAAATATTCAGGGAGACAGTCAAGTGACAATGTTTTAAAATCTAAGCTGCTGATTATTTTGATCTCATGTAAAGTAGAAGGTATGGGGCTGAGGATATATGACTTAGTGAACCATGCACCTGCCTGGTAAGTACAAGGTTCTGAGTTCAAGTCCCAGTACCAAAAATAAATAAATTTTTAAAAGTAAAGTAAAAGGTATGTCCATGGCTATATTTCCTCTCAGAAGGATAATAATATTAATGTATATTCATGTGTTATAACATTTCATGTTTCAGAAGTTGGACTTTTTAGAGTTTGACAGTTCCTGTTCCTCTGAAGCACTTTCAAAAAAAGAACTTTCTGCTGACGAGTTGTATCAGCGCCTCGAGAAACTCATTATTGAGGAGAAAGCGAATGATGAACAGATCTTTGACTGGGTAGAGGTACATAGACTGTGTCACTTTCTCTGCCAACAAGATTTTGTGGGTCCTTTCTGTTTGCTTCCCATACCATTTTATTTCATGAGAGTTCCTAACATTAGTGAAACTTAGCTCTTATATGTGTATGTTTTAAGACTGTTCTGTTTTTACAAAATTTCACAGGTTTTTATCAAGTTAAAAAAGAGAAGCCATTCTCTGCCATTAGTTTAGGGTAGTCTATATTTTATCCTTTAACTACTATCCTAAATAAAATGAATAAGCAATATGTAATTACTATGAAAATTTTTTTTAGGTTGGTTTTTTTTTTGTGCACGCTCTCACTACTGGCTTATAATTTCATGTTTAGCTCTCCTGGAAGTTTTATGCTTTATTTATCTTGTGCTGTTGAATGTTGGTTGGTTTGTTCGTGTGTTCGTTTGCTAAGACAAGGTCTTGCTATATAGTTCAAGTTGGCATTTAACTGACTAGTAGTAGCCCAGGCCAGCCCCAAACCCTTGGCAGTCCTGCCTTAGCAGCCTCGCAAGTGCTGGGATTATGCATTTCCAGTCCTGGAAGTTGGATAGCTGTTAAATAACTGTAATAGCCTACCATTGAATCCCTAGCTTCCTTTCTAGGTTGGTTTTGGATTTGGGTTTTTGTTTGTTTTTTTAATCTTTGTCTGGTGACTTGTGCCAAAAATAGTCTGGATTTTCAGCATCTCTCAAAAGGACATATGCAAACTGAGCCTGATCCCCAGATATGTCCAACAATGTAGGGCATGTGGTATAGTGCAGCTTTTATTTTGGACTCTGGCAGCCTTACCACACTGAACTCAGATTGCTTTTTGAGCCACTAATACCAGCTCTTATGTTTTCTAGCTTTGCCATTTTTCTTCCTTAACATGAGCATTTGCTTTTTGAACTAAAATAGACGGTTGGTTTTTGTGTTTTTTGTTTTTCCTATTTTTAGGATAAGATCTACAGAGTGTACAGAGTCTCACTACATAGATTGGACTCGTAGTAATCCTCCTGTTTTCAACCTCCCACATGCTGGGATTACAGGCATGCACCACCATGCCCAGTCTCAATAGCTGTCTCAGCGTGCCCTGAGGTTGGGGCCAACACAGCAGGCCGGGAATTGAACCCCAGCTGCTATGCTCTGTCTAAGCAGGTGCTTTATTTGCTGAGCTATCAGGCTGGCCCTAAAATGGAGGCTTTTAAAAAATGTGCGTTTGCCAGATTTAGTTAGCGCATGCCTGTAATTCTAGCACCCAGAAGGCTGAGGCAAGAGGATCACCTTAAGTTCTATGAGGCCAGTTCTACCCTATCATAGGCAACTTAGTGAGGCCCTGACTGAGAATTTAAAAATAACATACAGGGCTAGAGAGATGGCTCAGTGGTCTAAAGCACCTACTTGAAACAAGCTTGGCAAAACACAGGGACCGCGGTTCAATCCCCCAGCACCACATGCCAGCCAGCCCTGCCCCCTGGTGGGCTGAGCTGGCCACACACACACACACAATAAATAAATGTAATAAAAATAAATAAATAATTTAAAATAAAAATAAAAATAACATACAATGAGTGTATTCATTATGTATCACAATAAATTTCTAAAATTATAAATGTACTGGGATATAGCTCAGTCTGAAAACTCTCCATTTAATTCCCAATACTGCACAAAAGAAAAAGACAGGGTAAATTCTACCAAATGTACATTCTACCTAATAAAGTATTTTTTTTAAAGGGAAAGACAAAAACATAATAGTAGTTGATTCCCAATGCATAGAGGTATTTACTGCTCTGTGTCTAATACCAGTATTATATAAATCTGACATCAAAAGAAGATCCATCTTCCTTGTCTTCCCTTTTTTTCTTAACACCCTTGCTTAGTCTGTAGTAATACTTCAGGTCTGATCTGCTCTTGGATACTAGAATTAAATTGTTTGGCCCTATTTGATAGAAGAAATACACAGTGGATTTTTTTTGTGGGGGTACTGGAGATTGAACCCAGAGAGAGGGTCCTTTACACTGAGCTACATTTCCAGGTCCTCTCCCTGCCCTACTTTGAGACAAGATCTCACTAAGTGTTCCTGGCTAGACTCTCAGCTGTTACTCAAAAACAATTATTTGGACTTCGCAAAAGTAACTCTTTGAGGTTAGACCAGCATAGCTTCAACTCAAATCAGATATTTCCAAGGATGTGTAAAGCAACACATAAATTGTCATGGAACCTCTGGTGTGTGGAATTTGGGCTCCGTCTTCCACCTGTTCCCCCTCAACTTTGACACTGGTACTGCATATTTCTATTTTGTGGGAAAAACTTATAAACTCTATACTAATCCAGAGTAAGATGATCTACCCAAGTAGCCACTATGCTGTTGTCAAACAGAGATGGCCATCTGTACTGGTGCTGCACAGAGCTGGCCTCTGACTCAAAACTGCTCTCCATCTAGTTCCCAGAAGCCACCAAAGTGATGTTGGAGCTTAGGGATTTGAAAGCTAACTGATCTGCCTCCATTCAAAAATTCATCAATATCAGGCTGGACAATGCAGCCCAGTTGTAGAGCACTTGCCTAACGTGTTTGAGGCCCTGGTTCAGTCCCCACCACCTACCCCCCAAAATCAACACTAACTTTATCTCTAAATATCTTTGAAATTCTTAGTTTTCTAATGAAGAAGTTTATAAAAGACATTTTCAGTTTTTCCTGACCAGTCATTTAAGGAGTGACTCTTCCAGGGGAAAATACCATGCCATGCTATTAAAAGAAGCTGGTCTAAGCATTAATTCTAAAAGCAGCCATCAAGAACATGAACTTTGAGAAGCATTTGCAATACCTGTCTGAAAAATCTCTTATTCTTTCCTTTGGTACATATCTGATTTATTACAGTGTATAAGAGCACCAACAAGATGAATAAACGAAAATTAATTTGGGGGCATTTTTAATCTATTTAACATCTCTAAAAGGAATTTTCTCTTTCTTGCCATCCTTAGAAAAAAATTTCTCATCACCTGAAGGGTTTGTTTAGGGCCAGGCTTGAGATTATCCCCTAATTCAATTAAAATTAAGATAAAAGAGCTGTGTTGGCACATGTACAAACAGCTGCATAATACTGACAAAGGGAGGCCTTTAAAATAGACTGCAGCTGAAAAAAATATTTATACTGCAGCTATGCTGTATTTACTCTCAAATTTATAGACTTGGATAGGTCATCTTAGTATGGATTACTTAAGAATAAAGTTTTGAAATGATTCCAAATGTACATAGCACATAACACTATCATTAAGCAGAAAAAAAGCAGTACTGTAATAAGCTCCTTAAAACTTTAGTACTGCTACTTAGAACATGTTCACACATAGAATGGTGGTAACCAAATTATTTTAAAATGAATTGAGGGGCTGGGGAGATGGCTTAGTGCAATAAGTGCTTCTCTGGCAAGCGTAAGGGCCTGAGTTCAATCCCCGGTTCCGCCAAAAAAATAAAATGAATTGAATGTTTTATTTTTCTATGGATGTGCAAAAGTGTGACTACCTCTGCCATGAGTATCAGATTAGCCTTTTGGGGGAAAGTAAATTTCTTTGGTGTGCAAGAGTACTTTTAACTGTTTTGTTTTGTTTCACTTTCAATTTTAGGCTAATCTAGATGAGAGCCAAATGAGTTCACCTACATTCCTTAGAGCTTTAATGACAGCTGTTTGTAAAGCAGCTATTATAGGTAAGTGACATTTTCTGAAAGCAGCTTTCAACATCTGAGATCCTTATTACATCAGCTACTAATTATATGGTCTTATTTTATATATTTTCTCAACACTTGCCCTGTATAGCTCATTTTCTATGTAAATGGTTAGCATTTTTGTCTGCTCTGCCTGGTTGTCTCAATCATAAGGACAAATAGTTGCTCTCTCTCTGGATCTACTACTGTACCTTGTATTCTCCACTACAGCGAGGTTGTTACATGTTCTTTCGCCCGCCCGTCCGTCCTTCCTTTCTCTCTCTCTCTCTCTCTCTCTCTCTCTCTCTCTCTCTCTCTCTCTCTTTCTTTCTTTCTTTCTTTCTTTCTGTGTGTGTTTAGGTTACCCGGGGGAGCTTGCCCACTAGCTCAGTCCACTAGCTCAATCGCTTAAGTGACTGCTCCAACAAAGTAGTCAGGCTCAGGATGCTGTGGTTCAAGCCCCATATCCTCAAGCCTTGCCAGACCTGCCGTGAAGGCATCCTAAGCCAGCCCAAAAACAAAAAAACAAACAAATAAAATCATTATGTTACCCAGGAATCGAACTCAGGCCCATGTGCTTCCAGGCAGGCACTTAATGCTGCTGAGCTATCTCCCCAGCCCATTACATGTTCTTTGGATGTTTTTTACTACATTATATGTAGTTTTTCCTTACCTTCACCCCTCCCATTACTCAAGGCCACCTCTTTGTTCCACCCATGAGTTATAAAGAATAGATTCAATATTCTTAGCCTATTATTAAAGAAGGGCTGTTCTTATGAGAAAAGTCGCTGTATGTAAATACCTCTGTGAGGAAAGAAAATACCAAGTTTCTCCTGTTCTTTGATCAATTTATTTTCTATGACAGTTTATTGATTTGTTAATTATTTATTAATTATATGAATAAATATTACTAGAATTGGTTGAAACACTATTCCAAGTTTCATACAGTATTTAATGATGTTTAATAGGGAAATCCACATTAGCTTCAGATGGAAATCCACATTTCTTTGACTGAAGTAAGGAGGAAAAAAGTCCATCAGCTCGATTGTCTCAAAATTTCTGTCTTTGTCATTTCAGATAAATTCAAGCTATTCATTAAATAGCTTTAGCTAGGCCTTGTGACACATGCCTATAGTTGCTGGCATCCAAAAAACTAAACTGTACTCCATAACTTAAACAGAAAATAAGATACCTTATACACCTTTGTACTTCTTGGCACTGAGGAGAGTTTGCTCAATCCCTAGCTATCATGGCTTTTCCTCAGAAGACTTAGATTAGGTATATATTTTTTGCCACTATCAGTTAGCCTTTGTTCTCCCCATAATAATAAAATGGTCCCAACTCTTTCATCCTTCTTACCTGGCATTTTCCCTTTTCTCGTACTGTGTGTGTGTCTCCTGTGATTCCAGGATTGAACCCCATGCCTGAAGTGTGTGTCTCTGTGTGTGTGTCTTTGGTGATTCCTGGATTGAATCCCATGCCTGACGTGTGTGAGCCAAGCACTGTATACCACCAAACCCCCTAATTTCCTTTTGGAATGCTGTTTTTAAGGGACCCACTTGAATTCGCACTTCATTTTTATTAATGATATCTGTGATGGCAAATCATAATTACAGACTTTTATGGAGAACAATATGGTGTCATGATAGGTGTATGTTAGCTTTCCACTACTGTAACAAGATAACTGAGAAAATCAAAGAGAGGAAAGACCCATTTGGGCTTATGCTTTAGAAGTTTTAATCAACGTTTGCCTCGGTTCCCATTGCTTTGGGCCTGTGAAAAGACATGGTCGTGGTGTCAATAACATAATGGAGTAAAGCTGTTCACCTTATGACATCTGGGAAGTGGAGAGGAAAAGGAGGTACAATCCTAATATGGCCTTCCAGGGTATATTCCCAGTGACATAACTTCCTTCTGCCAAACCCTACTTCTTAACATTGCCACTACTTCCTAAGAACACTGCAGGTTGGGAACCAGTACATGAGACTTTACGGGACAAAGTCCAAGCTATAACAAAATGTCTACAGTGTGGAATGATTAAAATCAATCTAATTAGCAAATCTATCACCATCTTTGTGTGTGTGTGTGTGTGTGTGTGTGTGTGTGTGTGTGACTAGGAATTGAACTGATGACCTCAGCCTTGTCAGGCAGGTACTTTCCTGCTCAGCTGTATCCCGGCCCACACCACCTTTTTTATACTGAGACATTTGATGTTGATTTTGTAGATTTTCATAAAACTATCATCACTGTTTCATTATTAAAAATAAATAATAGAATTCACAGTTCTTTATTTTGAACCAGTTATGAAACTAAGGACCTTGCACTTGACAGGCAAGTGCTTATGCCACTGAGCTATATCCCTAGCAAGTTCGCTATTCTTGTGGAAAACCCACAACTCAAAATACATAGCTCAGCGGCACAGTACCTGCCCAGAAAGCATGAGGTCTGAGTTTGATTCCCAGTATGCCAGAAAAAACTCAGAGCAAAATGCATTTCCTCTCCATGTCCTTTTTCCTTTTGGTACCAGGAGTTGAACTCAGAACCTTGCATTTATCAGGTAGGTGCTGTGCCACTGAGCTATATCCCTGTCTTCTCAATGTCTTTTATTATTTCTGAAAAAATATCACATTTAAAAATATCAGAGCAGGGCTGGGCAGATAGCTCACTGGTCTAAGCACCTGCCTGGCAAGCACAAGGACCTCAATCCCTGGTACCACATGCCATGCCAGCCCTGAAACCAGGTGTAGCGCACACCTGTAATCGTAGCACTGGGGAGTCTGAGGCAGGAGGATCACTATGACTGTGAACTGCATAGCGAGACCCTGTACCTAATACATAAAATAAATAATAAAAATATGTACATATGAGAGCATTTGGATTTCAAGAATCTTGCTGTGGCCCTCTTACCCACCTTTTCCCTTACAGAGTTCTGTGGGTTTTATGCACTCAGACAGTTGGAAATGCTTCTATGTTAACTCCTTAAATGTAATACTAATTTCTTTCTTTTTTTTTATTTTTTAAAATTTTATTTATTTATGTGTGAGTGTGAGTGTGTGTGTGTGTGTGTGTGTGTGTGTGTGTGTGTGTGTGTCCAGCTCAGCCCACCAGGGGGCGGGGCTGGCTGGCATGTGGTGCTGGGGGATTGAACCGCGGTCCCTGTGCTTTGCTAAGCTTGTTCTAAGTAGGTGCTTTAGACCACTGAGCCATCTCACCAGCCCCTGTAATACTAATTTCTTGTATCTCCTCTAGCTGACTGTTCTACCTTCAGAGTGGATACTACTGTTATAAAGCAGAGAGTACCGATCTTACTCAAATACCTGGACTCAGATACAGAGAAAGAACTGCAAGCACTTTATGCATTACAAGCATCAATAGTAAAACTTGATCAACCTGCCAGTAAGTTTGCCTTATATTAACCAATGGGTGAGACTTATTCAAGCCAAGATTTCTGAGATGATTGGGGGTTTGAAGATAGAAAATAGAATAATCGGCCTGGGGAGATAACTCAGCAGTCCTAACTGCCTGCCTGGCAAGCGCAAGGACACAAGTTTAATCCCCAGTACTGCATGTTGTACCAGCCACCAAAACTGAGCGTGGTGGCATACACCTGTATTCCCAGTGCTGGGGAGGCTGAGACAGGAGGATCACTACAAGTCCAAGCTGTGTAGTGAGATCCTGTGTCAAATTTTTAAAAAAGTTTTTTTAGGGGCCAGGAGATGGCTCAGTAGAATAAGCACTTCCCTGGCAAGCACAAGGGCCTGAGTTCAATCCCTGGTTCCACCAAAAAAAAAAGAAAGAAAGTAGAAGAATCACTGAGTGGTAACAAAAACTGAAAGAATCAATTACTTTTTTTTTTTTTGAGATAAGGGTCTCACTCTTTCCTAGACCAGTTTCAAACTTTTAGACTCCTACCTCAGTCTCCCAAGTAGCTGGAATTGCAGGCATATGCCACTGCACCCAGCACCCAGGAAAATGGTTGGTTGGTTGGTTGGTTGGTTGGTTGGTTGGTTGGTTGGAAGACAGGACCTCTCTCTGTTGCCCAGCCTGGTGTTATCCACCTAAACTAAAGTGATCTTCTTGCCTCCACCTCCAGAGTAGCTAAAAGAGTAGGCATGTGCCTCTGCACTCAACTCTAAATCAGAAGGTTTCTTGTATTTGTATGAGAGATTTAATTCTTATTCTAGGCCAAGTCTGAAAAACTTCGTGCAGTGGTGGAAATGTAGGGATGTCACTCAGTATGGTAACCATAAGCCACAGTTATTCACATTAATATGGCTGTTATGACTAAGGAACTGGATATTTCATTTTCTTTAAATGTAAATAACTACATGTGGCTAGTAGCTACCATATGTGACAGCAAAGATCTGGGGAGTAAAAATCATGAGTAGTCTTGAGGATGATACTCTGCAGGATCCTTAGATATCTGACAAAATCCTCACTAGTAGCTATGGTATATTTACCAAGGCATTTTAGACTACAGATTAACCAGATCAAAAAATAAGGTAACCTGCACACTCAAGTTTTAGTGATACTGATTAAGAAATTCTATTAAATCTTGAAAATTCTGTTGCAGTTTATGGAAGGCAGGGGGTATATGGTTAATTGAGAGATAGTACTAAAGTTGTTCTTAAGTACTTCCTTAGGTTATGGGCTTTATTTAATTCTTTCTATTGCTGCTCAATCCCTTTGGGAGATAAACAAGTTGAAATACATTATCCTCAAAGAAACACAAATCTGAATTGGAAACTTTGTTTTCCTTTTCAAGGTCTTTCAAAGGTCATGTAACAATATGGCTTCTTTTTCTATATTTTTATATGGTGGGTATACTAACTTTTCAAATGAGATGGTCAAATGGTTGGATGAAATAGACAGCAGTGTGCTCAGATTAAAGTAACAGAAGGGGGCTGAGGAAATGGCTCAGTAGAATAAGCACAAAGGCCTGAGTTCAATCCCCGTTTCTGCCAAAAAAATAAAAAATTAAATAAAGTAACAAAAAGTATTAATTTCAGTATCCTTGGAGAGCAGTTTAGTTCTAGATTCCATTTTCCTGAAAACCACCCAGGACTTAGAGGATCTGAACTGATTTTTCCAGGCTTGGTGGTACACTCCTATAATTCCAGCTACTCTGGAATCTGAGCAGGAGGTTCATAAGTGCAAGACCAGAGTGGGCAAGACCCAGATGGTATCTGCAGATAAAGTAGTAAAGCAGATCAGTTTTCTCTGGGTCAAGCCTCAGGACCACCAAAAGAAACTGATTTCAGTGCTAGCTGTCTAAAATAATTACAAGAGAAATCTAAAGAACAAATTCACATGACTCATTCTAAGACTAACATTTTATACAATTTGAACTATAATAGTGTTGAACACTGCTGAATCTATTTTGCGTTATGTACTTCTCAATCGATGGCTAGATCTGGTGGTGCACACTTGTGATCCTAGCACTTGGGAGGCTTGGGCAGCAAAAATGGTACAAATTTGAGGCCAACCTGCACTACAAAGGGAGACTGTCAAAAACAAAAAACAAAAGAAAACAAAAACAAAAACAAAAAAAACAACAACCAAACTTTAAAGAAGTTAAATGTAAAAGAAACCTTTTACTTTTCTTTCTGCTTAGGCAGACACAGGGGTCAGGGTTTGACCCCCAGGGCACAATGAGACAGTGATTGATACTGGGTGTGGTGGTGTGTCTGTAATCCCAGCACTTGGGAGGCTGAAAAACAGGAAGATCACTGCAAGTCTTTTCTGTGTGTAGTGAGACCCTGTAGACACTGTACTAAATAAATAATAAAAAATAATAATTTGCACTGCTTAAGAAATGGTTTTTCCTCTTCTTCATTATCCTCTCAAAAGTGAATAGGATGAATTGCCCTAGATGTTCTTCTATAGGAGATGAATGTCATCATTCATCCACTCATTCATTTTCCTCACAACTGTAGTGCTGCAAAATCCCTGGCTTATTTTTCCCATCTTCCAGATTTGCTCCGGATGTTCTTTGATTGCCTGTACGACGAGGAGGTGATCTCTGAGGATGCCTTCTACAAATGGGAGAGCAGCAAGGACCCTGCAGAGCAGAACGGGAAGGGCGTGGCCCTGAAATCTGTCACAGCATTTTTCACATGGCTGAGGGAAGCAGAAGAGGAATCTGAGGATAACTAAAACTTCAAATACACAAAACAAAACAAACAAAACAAAACAAAAAAGAAACAACTTAAGTATTTTTTTAAAAAGTTTCACGTCTTCGCCAATCACAGTGCAGCAAGGCCAATTCTCACAGGAACCCCATATGTACACAATGGGAAGGGAAAGAGAAAGACGGTGATCATGGAGGACAGAGGTACTGGAGACGAGTAAACTTCAAACCTGAGGGCGGGAGCACTAAAACCAAAATACATGTATTATTTATAGGAAATATTTTCTGTTTTAATCTTTTCTTTTTAAACAAGGACTCATACTTTAAAAAAAAAATATGTTTAGCAAAAAAAAAAAACAAAAAAAAGTGAGAACTCTTAATTTATTTTAAGGACTGCAAATGCCAGTGTGTAATTTTTTAATTTGCAGTTTCTGTAAACAACTTGTATAATAGTAAAACAGAGAAATAAATTTCCCTCCCCTTCAGATGCACCTCATGTTTGTTTTAAGGCATAGTAGTTAGTCCAGATTTGAGAAGGTTTGGGGTGAACAAAATAAGAAAGGTATTCTTTTTTTCTTTTTCTTTTTTCTGGCATCAAATCTTCTGCCTGCCTCTCAGTTTGCTTCAGAAAAAAAAAAAAAAAAAAAAAATCACAATAGCAATTAAAACATACATAACCTTGGAAAAGAAGGAAATGCTATGGACCAGAGAACTCCAAGAATTGTTCAAAACAAGTGCTACCCTGGAAAAAGTACTCAATACTTTTGAAATCTTTAGAGCAACTTTAAGGCTTGTAAATACATAGAACAAATATTTAAAAAGAAATTGACTCAATACTATTTCTTTTCACTTTCAAAATATAAAGAACAAAATAAAGACAAACATTGCAAGTTTAAAAGAAAGTAGAGCGACTTCTCCTTTTGCCAGCTGCTGCATGTGTGCCCAAGCGGTACTGTCCGGCTGTCTTTGCCTTCTCCAGGTCACTCCTGAGGAGCGTGTTGGGGTTGGAGGGTTACATGTACCCGTATGCACATGTGTGGGGTGTGTGTGTGTGTGCACACATCTTTAGTGGGAAAGTGTAAGCTACTTCATTAGTAAGGAAAACACTTGCGGGAGTCCAGAAAAACATTTCCAACAGCAAGTAGAGATATATTTGGGGTAAAAACCAAAAGCTTTAGTGTTTTTAATTTTTCTTAGGTGTTTTTTTTTTTCTCTCTCTCTCTTTCACTTAAAACAGGGTCTTGCTATGCAGTTCAGACTGACTTTGAACTCAGTATGTAACCCAGGCTGGCCTTGAACTCAGCCTCCCAAGTGCTGGGATTCTAGGCATGTGCCACTATGCCTGGCACAAAGCAATTGCAAATAATTCAGGTTCCACTTCATGTCTCAGTATTAAAGGTACTAACTCACAGTTTACTTTGAGACTACTGCTACCATTGATTTTTAAGCCTCCCATCAGTTTTCTCCAGTATTTTAAAAATCCAAGGATACTTTCTAAAGAATGAAAGAAAAACCAACCTTCCATATGTTATTTGGTGAGGATGAGGTTGAAGACCAAACCAGTTGCTGTCTCTGCTTAATGAAGAAATCCTAGCTACCCCCAAGATAAAAATAAAGTTTTTATATTTTTTATCTTGGTTTCCATCTCTAAGGAAATGTCTATAGTGAGAGACTTAGCAAGATTTGTGAAGTTCAAGAACAAGATATTCCATAGTAATAAAAGGATTTCCTAGAGTGTAGTTGTACACACTAGAGAACCCTGTTTTGGAACCCCAGTCCCTTCCTTGGGTATCTTGAAAGTTTCTTAGCAACCACGTGACAGCATCTGTCAATGGCTGACATTTGTTTGCAGGGGTCTGACAAAGAGCTTCAGACAGTAGAAGACTTGTGAAGTCTTCCACATACTGGGCTATTCACCAGTATGTTAGATGTTATGGACAAGTGTTGGGAATGGAAGGAAGAGAAAAATATTTTAGAAAAAGGCTAAAGGATTAAAGGAATCTTAACATGTAAACATCTATGGTACAAATAATATTTGAAATCTCACCTTTAGCAAGTGGTGTAATGAAAAGATAAAACTTTGGGTATCTTGATGTGTGGAATGTTCAGTAGGATTACCACCCCCCGAACCAGGGATTGAACTCAGGCCCTTGCGCTTCCCAGGGAAGTGCTTATTACACTGAGCCATCACCCCAGCCCCATCTCACCTGTTCAGTAGGATTAGAAGTGTTAGGTAAATGCAAAATGAGCAAAATAAGACAACTGATCTCCATTTATATCAGTGGAACTACAATTAACTGTCACAATTCCCACCTTAATGGTTTTCTTACTAGAAAGCAGGGTAGGACTGGGTTGGGTTAGATTTTTGTCTTTTTTGAAACAGGGTCTCACTATGCAGTCAGGCTGGCTTTGAGCTCATTTTGTAGCCCAGGCTGGTCTCGAACTTGCAATAATCCTTCACACTCCCTTCACACTAGGAAGAGAGTATGCAATGTGTTAATTATTAGAACTGTCCTACCAATTTGATTTGAAACTGTCTCATTGCTATTTGTTTCTCAATAAAATTAAGGAAAAAAATAAATCTCTCCTCCTTCAAAATAAATCCTGCCTCAGCCCCTGAGTGCTGGGATTACAGGTGTGCACCACCATACCTGGCCTACCAGGGGTTTTGTTTTGTTTTGTTTTGTTTTGTTTTTGTTTTTATGTAATATGCAACATTGCCAGATTGCCATGCCTGTACTCCTTTTATGATATAGCCAAAGTTCTTGCACCAAATTTGCCTTTGGGAATAGGTCCACTGCCTCTTATTAATTAGAATATTTATACCTGTATTCAAACCAATGAACTTACAGCTTTTCAGTAACTAAGTCTTGTCATTTTTAGTCTAGCAAAGGAAAATACCAGTTTTCAAAATAAATTTGCTTTAGATTCTTGCATAAATGTATAAACTGCATTATCAACTGATTTTATGCAGCAAATACTTAATGGCCTAAAGGTTTAGTCAGTGGTAAAGCATGTCTTGAGGTGGGGGAAGGCCTTGACTTTAATCTATCTTTTAAAAACACTGGGTTGGGGATACAACTCAGCACAAGCACCTGCCTGGCAAGCACAAGGTCCTGAGTTTGATTCCTGGTACCAAATAAATGTCAGAACACTTAGGACCTACTGCGTATAGGTATAGAGGGCATAAGTGACTGACACCATCTTTGTCCTTGTGACTCGTGTTCTTTATGGAAATGCAATCCATCATCCTACCCATAGAAAAGGGTCTGCGGCCCTGCCTCCAGGGCACGCTGAGATGGTGAGTGAGACTGGGCGTGGTGGTGTATGCCTATAATCGCAGTGCTTGGGAGGGTGAAAACAGGAGGATCACTATGAGTCCAGTCTATATAGTGAGACCCTGAACACCCTGTCCTAAATACATTTTTAGAAAAGAAATGTGCCTGTCATTCAGGCACACTACAGGCTTCCATATGCTGCAGGAAATTAGGCAGAGATGCACTACACGCTCACTGACTTCAGACAACACATATATATCTCCTTTAGTTTTCAAAATAAGTCCCACCCCTCCCAAAAAGATAACTGTGTATAGCCAAGATGAGATGTTTTATATGTCAAAGAAGCTTTGAAGAATAATGTGCTAAATATTTTTAATGTTTTATTTTGAAATTTCACAAAGTTTGCAGATTTTACAGAGTTCCATATATCTCTCACTCAAATAGACTATTCTAGGATATTTGTCAAAACTAAAACCAGCATTAGTACATTGATACTAACTAAACTCTAGACTCTTTTAGATGGGCACCAAGGACCCTTTTCTGGCCCAGGATGCAATTTGGCATGATGTCTTCTTTGTATTCATAACCTTCATAACCTTCACAATTTTGAGTAATGATGTGTTTTGTACAATATCCCTCAATTTGGGATTATCCAGTATTTTTCTCATTAAACTGGGGTTATAGACTTGAGGCAAAAAATGCTACATAAAGGAAGTGCCCTTCTCATGTCAGCAGGTACATGACACATATGATGTCACCAAGGGTAAGTGGTAATGTTCACTTTGACTAGTTGGGTAAACAGGTTATTGCCAGGTTTCAGCATTCTAGTCATCCTTTTCTTATCTGGTCTGCTGTATCTAACTTAGCCAGTCACTAAATCCTGCCCAAAGTGGGGAGGGACTGAGAGTAGGACAGACCTGAGCATTTCTTCTCCCAATAGTAAGGAATATCTACTTAAATTATTTGGAATTCTCTGCAAGGAACACTGTCTTTTTCCATTTGTTTCCTTATTCTCCTGTTCATATACATGATATATGTTGTATCATTATGGACTAATAATTTATTTTACACTTTGAATTACAATTCAATATCACATTATTTTGTTGTTCAGATTGTTCCAGTTTGGCCACGAGGAGCTATTTGAAATTAGCTTGTCTGTCCTTCTGACAGCATCCCATTATTTTTTTTTTTTAAGAGCATTTATATCACAAGATGTTAAAGGTATGTCTTACATTTTTTTCTGGCCCAGCCCTAGTATCAGACAGTGCTACAGGAATCCCTTGTTTCTTGTAAAAGAAAAGTGTTTAGAAACCAAGATACTGGGTATGTCAGCATTTTGGTCTGCAAATGTTTTAAAACTGTACTTTGTATGAAGGTGAGACTTTACCAGGTGAGTAAACTGCTTTCATACAGATAAAACACTGGGGCTGGCGGGGTGGAGGTGTTTGTTTTTGAGACAAGTTCTCACCAGGTAGTCAGGCTGGCCTTGAAATCAACTATGCAGCCTCGGCTTGCCTCAGCCTCAGAGTGATCCTCCTGCCTGAGCCTCCCACATGCTGGAATTACAGGTACACACCACCACTGCTGGCAAAACAGTGATTTTAGAAGACTAACCTTTACAAAACATCAGCTGGGCTGGGGATACAAGCTCGGTGGTATAGCACTTGCCTAGTATGCAGAAGGCCCTGAATTTGATCCCCACCAGCACCATGAGAAAAATAAAAGGAAAATATTGATTTTAGAATACATAGGAATACTCTAATACCCACAAACTCAAGTCTACATATATTCCACTCATGCTTTTTTTAACATTAAAAAAATTAAGGGAATTATGCCTTTTCCCTTATGATAGAATTTAACTTCCCTTTAGTAATAGTCTCCTGGCACTTTGGATGCTGAAGCAGGAGGATCATCACAAGTCTGAAGCCAGCCTATACACTATACAAAGAGATCCTGTCTCACAAAGCAAAATGTATTTTTATATAAATTATGTTACATGTAAATATATATATATATATATATATATATATATATATTCAGCTGAAGTATAATATAGTACATTAAAATATTACTTGAGCTGGAGATGTATGTAGCATATGGGAAATCCTGGGTTCAGTTCCTAACACTGCAATTTTTTTTTTCATTACCTGGATAGTAGATTCCAATGATGAACACTTGTAGTCCCAACTACTCAGAAGGGTGAGGGTGGAGGATCACAAATTTGAGACCAGCATGAGCAAGTTAGTGAGACCCTGTCTCCAAAAGGTGGGAGTCTGGGATGTAGACCAGTGGTAGTACAGGTCACTTACCTAGCATTTGTGAGGCCAGGGACCACTGCAAAAAAAAAAAAAAAAAAGAGAAGGGAAAGAAAAAAGGAGTAAATATTTGTGTTATGTATCTAAGCATAGAAAAGGATCAGTAAATATATGAACAAGAGGAATTTTTCACCTCCATTATAATCTTGGGACACTGAGAAGCCAGTTACACATAGAAGACATTCCTCGAAAAGACATTTTCTAAATGTCTTTTGACACTACTAGTAA